TTAAGGTCTTTCAAGGCCTGCTGACATTCAGCAGTCCATTTGAAATTTTTCTTCTTCTACAGAAGTGAGAGGTGATGACATTTTTTCGAGGATCAGGATTGATTTTATCGAGATTTACCTCGATCCCTCGCTGTGAGACCAAAAAAACCTAAGAACTTACCGGAGCCAACCCCGAACGTGCATTTTTCCTGATTGAGCTTCATGTTATGCTTCCTCAAGATATCGAAGGTTTCTTGGAGATGTTTCAAATGATCATCTGCATTTGAAGACTTGACTAACATGTCATCGATATATACTTTCATTTTTTTGCCTATTTGCTTCTCGAACATGCTGTTCACGAGCCTCTGATAAGTGGCTCCGGCATTTTTAAGCTCGAATGGCATCATATTATTACAATATATGCCAAAGTTTGTTATAAACAAAGTTTTTTCCTGATCCTCTAGGTTCATCTTGATTTTATTGTACCCTGAATAAGCATCGAGGAGACTCATTAACTCGTGACCGACCGTTGCAAAAATCATTTGATTAATGTTTAGTGATGGGAACGAGTCTTTAGGGCATGCCTTATTTAATTCCTTATAATCTACGTATATCCTGAACTTGTTATTCTTCTTTGGAACCATAACTATATTAGCTAACCATTCGGGATACTTTACCTCCCGAATTGAGCAGATGTCAAGTAGTTGGGTTACCTCTTCTTTAACAAACCTGTTTCTGACCTCGGCTATTGGGTGTTTATTTTGCATTACCGGTGGGAAATTTAGGTCCAAGCTTAGCTTCTGCACGGCTACCTCTAACGGGATACCTATCATATCTGAGTGCGACCATGCAAAATTATCGACGTTATCTTTAAGGAAAATAATAAATCTTTACCTGAGTTCGGGATTGAGTCTTGTTCACAAGTGAAACTTCCTTTCCAGGAATTCTTCTAATAAAGATACTTGCTCGAGTTCTTATGCAGTGGACTTTGTTGCATCTATCTCCTCCGACAGCTGAAAGTATCTCGGCACCCGGTAGGATTCCGACAACTCCTCGGCTTCATCATCATTGGTTAGGGGAGAAGGCGTCGGTTCCGAAAATTTGTATTTGTTGGGTTCTTTCCCTTTGCTGCTGGAAATCGACATTGCATTCATTTCTCTTGTTGCCGGTTGATCTCCTCTTATCTGCTTGATTCGTTACGGGATCGGGAGTTTCAATAGTTGATGATATGTTAAGGGAATGACTTTCATCTCATGTAACCACGACCTTCCGAGGATTATATTGTAACCCATGTCGCTGTATACCACTTTGAATAAGGTGGTTTTTGGTTTCTCCTTCGGCATCCGTGGGCAGCAGGATCTCTTCTCACGTTGTCACACTTGCCAAGTTGAACCCAACGAGAAGTTTTGTTGTCGGAATGATGCTTCCGATTAACTTTGCTTGTTCCAGCACCCTCAATTTAATAATGTTTGCCAAGCTTCTTGGGTCAACCAAGACAGGATTAATCTTAAAATATAAGACATTGAGAGAAATTACTAGAGCGTCATTGTGTTGTAGGAGAAGTACGTTGGTGTTTTCTTCCGTGAAGGTGATATCATCTTTGGCGATTTCCCCGAGTTTCTTGTTGTGAGTCGCTAAAACCTTTGTCTTTTTGGCCATCGAGAAGGTTACACCGTTGATTTCATTTCCCTCCAAAAATCATGTTGATAGTCAACCGAGGAGGATCTTCTACTATCTTTGAAGGATTCGCATTATCCCTACTATAGCCGTAATTGTTCTTGGCCCGGTCGCTCAAGAACTCCCTGAGATAGCCGTTCTTCAACAACGTCGCCACCTCTTTGCACAGATGCTGGTAGTCCCCAGTTCTGTAGCCGCGAGTGACATGCTATTCACACCATAAGTTAGGATCCCTCTAGCTGGGATTAGATCTGATTGGCTTCGGGAATCGTGCTTCTTTGATATTCCTTATATCTTATACCAATTCCACTATGCTTATGTTGGAATTGTAATCCGACAACCTGGGATGTGTGGAATCCCGGGCCCCTAGTACCTCTTTATCTTGCAATAATTTATTGTTCCGTCCATAATAAGTTCTTCTATCGGGAGAGAACCTATCCGAGGACCGGAACCCTTTACTGTCGCATCTTTCAACTCTCTCGTATGGCATGAATATAAAGATCATCGGTCTGCATCAAAATTACTTTTGAACTTATCTTGGTTCTTGTCTTGGTCCCGTCCCTTGGTTGATGTCGGGAACACGAGATAATCGTCTTCTATCCTTATTTTTGACTCATAGCTGTTATGAACATCCGCCCATGTAGTCGCTTGGAATTCGAGCAGGCCTTTCTTCAGATTTCGGGAGGCATTGGAGCTCCTCGGATTCAAACCCTCTATCAATGCCTCCACTGCCCATTCGTCTAGTACGACCGATAGAAACATCCTGTCTTTCTGGAATCAGATCACGAATTTCCGCAATAATTCGGGCTCACCTTGTGCGATCCTAAATATGTTCGCCCTCTTCTCTTGGACCTTTCTAGCCCTAGAATAGGCCTTAATGAATGAATCTGCTAGCATTTCAAAGGAGTCAATCGAATGCTCGGGTAAGAGTGAGTACCATGTTAGGGCCCCCTTCATCAAGGTCTCTCCAAACTTTTTCAGAAGAATCGATTCGATCTCTTGTTGAGCCAATTCGATCTCCTGAGGATCCGAAGTCCTATCATATTTTGGTATGTCCGGCATCTTGAACCTCTTTGGAATTAACTCTGGTGTTACGCTTGATTTAAACGGCAACTGAGTATATGTTTTCGAATATGGGCCCTTCAAATCTAGTGGTGCACCCGGAATTTGATCCATTCGGGCATAAAACCCTTTCATGTTTTGATCCATTCGTTCGTTCATTTCTCTCATAAATCTCATGAGCTCGGTTTTGAATGGATCATTGCCATTATCATTACTAGATCCACTACCGGTCCCTCCGGCACCGTCGAAACCAACCTCAACCCTCGGGGTGTTGTTATCCACTCTTTGAGCCGTTTGATTTGCAGGAGCGCCGAGAAGAACCAACAGACTTTCCGTTTGCGTTGTTGGAAGTGCCTGATAACACTTGCTTCAATTTCGTCATCACCTAATCCTGTCTTGAGAGGTGGCCCATTGATGGCTTTCTGTTGATCTCTTAGGATTCTTACTATTTCCACAACATGTTCCTCTTCCGTATCATCGAGAGTTGGCTCCCATATATGTCGGGGGTACTGTCCTCCATGGATCGGGGTTACTTCGTCTCCCTCGTTGCGGGTGTCACTGATTGAGTCTTCATGTTGACGCAAAATTTTATGTCCCTCAACATTGTGTACGATGTTGTATCGTTAGCTGGCATTTTCAATTTCCTGCTAAGGAACAAAAATTCAAACAAGTTAGTAATAAACGCATGGACCAACTCAATTACGCAACTGTCTAAGCCCCATGGTGGGCGCCAAACTGTTTAGCCGTAAAACAGTATAGTTGAATTTGTAACATGGTTTATAGATAAGCGAATTGATTTGATCCAAAAATAATACATAAACAAGATTAAAAATAAGACTTGGCGATTAAAATCAAAGGGAATGACAAGTTTTGCTCTGAGAGCAATGCCTCCGAGGACAAAAATAAGAACAATATAAAAGAGCAAATAAAATTATTTTATTGAGCTTGGAATATAGCATATGTTTTGCCCAGGGTTTCGTGTCTTACAATGGCTATTGAGCCTACTATTTATAGCTATACCTAGGGAAGCAAGATCCTATGATCAAAGAATCAAGCCCCTCTTAAATGACAATAAAGGGGTCATTGATGAACATGTAACGACAGATCATGAATGCAAATAATGACTGCCTATTTAATACCAGAGAAAATTCTCTATTGAATGCTATCCAATGGCAAGCATTTGATCTACTCGCGTTGACCATGCTCCCTTCGAGGTCTATTCAATGTCAATTGTAGTTGTTGTTTCCGGTACTGCTTGTTACTTGATTTGCTTTCTACTTGTGTTCGGCTCCACTGTGTCACACTATAATTTGATCATTTATTATAAATCAATTTTACCCGTAACCACTCAAGATATCATGGTTTTCAAAAAATCAAGATGAAAGGGGTATTTATCATAACATACAGGAAGGGTCCTCAACTATATATTCTGTCTTTTTTTAAGACTTTGTTGTGTTGATTGTCTTTAACAATAAATTATACTTGCTGGTTTCTGGATTACGGCGGCACAATTATTTGTTTTCTCGGCAGTGGATTTTGACCAAAGTTTTGCCAAGTGGCAATGAAAAAACAAAAGATAAGGAAAAGCCTAGCATCCTATAGGTTTCCTTTAGCAACATGCACATAAAACGCAATTCCATACAACTTGATACGCGAAACGGTAGACAAAACTAGACGGTGAAGGTGGATACACCTTATGCCAAGAAATGTCGATTCGTCGAAATCTTTTACTACAATAATATAAAAATAATTAAACATTTGTATATATTAGGATGATACCACTCGACAAAAAAATAAAAATAGAAATTCTAGTCCAATGTCGTGTGGCTTCCTTGGTAAATCGGAAGTGGCAGGTTTAATAATTCACACAGGCATTTCTCTTTTCTTTTTCTTTTTCGAAAACAAGTAGCAGCCTCAAAATACTTTTACTAAAACTAATATAGAAAAAGCCTAAGCAGCAACCAGATTCCAAATTAGCAAAGAACTCTAAGAAATTCCTGTTTTATGCTCTTATTTCGCTTAATTATGTTAAGTTCTGCTCACGTATAGTGCACATTGCAACTGTTATATAAGACAATTTGAGAGGGACGAAGGGTCAATTGGTTTTTTGGCCATTTACAAACTTGTTTTTAGTTTTATAACTCTATCTTTTTTTTTACACATGAGATATTTACTTTTACACATAGGAGATCTTTCTTTTACACATAAGAAGTCTAAAAAAAAAAATTCTTAAATTCAACATTGTAAAACGCCCTGAGACCTAAAACCTCACCAAAATACAAGCAAATTTCTATAAATACTCGTACTACTATCTTTAAACGTCCACAATCTAAATCAATATCGTTCCCCTGCTTCATAAATGAAGCCCTATGTAGTTTCTATTCTTTCTTTTTCTCTCCTCTTCCTCTCTCTAGCTCCTCCAACTCTCTCAGAAAGATGCAACCCCAATGACAAACAAGCTCTTCTAGAAATCAAGAAAGGCCTAGGAAATCCCTATGACTTGATCACATGGGATCCCAAAACCGATTGTTGTGATGATTGGGCCCAATCCACTCTTTCTTGTGATGATGAGACCAACCGTGTTACTTCCCTAACCCTCTTCAAAATTGATGACGCCGGCCACCTCTCGCCGACCGTCGGAGACCTGCCCTATCTCCAAAGTTTGGACATCACCAAGGTAGGAAATCTCTCAGGTCCAATTCCAGCCACTATTGCCCATCTCACGTATCTCATATTCTTAAGAATCACTAAAACAAACATTTCAGGACCTGTCCCTGAATTTCTTGGTAAGTTGAAAAACTTAACATACATCAACTTGTCAGACAACAATCTCGAAGGAAGTATCCCACCTTCACTTTCCCAACTGTCAAATCTTTCGTACCTTCGTTTAGACAGGAACAAACTCACTGGAACAATCCCAGAATCATTCGGCAATTTCGCCCCGAAACTCGAGTTTCTTTACTTAGGTCAAAACAAACTCAGTGGAGTTGTACCGAGATCTTTTGCTGGTTGGAGCTTTGAGACACTTGACTTGTCAGGAAACAAGCTTGAAGGAGATATTTCTTTCTTGTTTGGAAATGATTCGAATACATTTCAATTATATTTGTCTCGGAATAAGTTTGAGTTTGACTTCTCAAAGCTAAAGTTTGGGAAGAAGTTAGTGAGTTTGGTTCTGAACCACAACAATATTTATGGGAGATTTCCTGCTGGGTTCGCAAAGAGACCATGGCAGGAGTTCAATGTGAGTTACAACAGTCTATGTGGGAAAATTCCACAGGGAGGGTATATGATCAGGTTTGATCTCTATTCATATATCCACAACAAATGCTTGTGCGACTTTCCGTTGCCCCCCTGTAAATTATGATGATCGACTCGGCCATTTGTTAAGGTGGTCCGACATCATATATCTATATTGTATTTTACCTTTTCTCTTGGAATGTCAATATGTCAGCAAATTTAAGATAAGGTTGCCAGGGCATCGACATGTGCTTTATAAGATAAGAGTTTTGGGTTAGCAGTCCGATATAGTTTCAGCACCAAAGCATCAAGCATGTCACGATAAAATCATAATTTTTAAAGGGATATTTGCACAAATATACTGCCACCATAATACATTGGATCTATGTAGTCAAATTTTTAAGTTTACAGCAACGTAGCTAATTCATTTTTGTTTTTTGGTTTTGTTTTTGCAGTTGTGTCTTACATTTGATAGATTATTAAGAAATTAATCTCAAAGTGGCAATATGAAACATAAAATAGATAATAGATGTAGAGAGTGAGGGAGAACTTTCTTCTTATTTCAAGTATGTAATCCATGAGCCAAAAGTGCTTTATTTATAGTTACAAAGGTTCAGCCACTCCGGACAAGAGTGTGTTGCTGTAGTGGTGAGCACCCACCACTTCCAAGTAAGAGGTTGTGAGTTCGAGTCACCTCAAGAGCAATGTGGGGAGTTCTTGGAGGGAGGGAGTCGAGGGTCTATCGGAAACAGTCTCTCTATCCCAGATAGGGGTAAGGTCTGCATACACACTACCCTCCCCATACCCCACTAATGAGATTATACTGGGTTGTTGTTGTTGTAAAGGTTCATCCTCAAAAACAAAGAATGAAGTCACATATTAAATAGATAAATATGAATACAAGTGATTCATGTATGTGATGTAAGAATTAAATGGGCAGCCACTTTAGTTAATTATATTCAACTATTCATAACACTCCCCCTTGGATATCTATTTAAAAGATAATGTGCCTCGTTAAAATCTTATAAGGAAAAATTCAGTGGGAAAAAGCCTAATGAAAGAAAAATAGTATACATATCTTGTAATACGCATAGAGTGTTGCCTCCTTAAAAACCTTAAAACGCGTATTATACTCCCCATGATAAAAACTTTATTTGATATTTCGGAGACGATGCATTCCAATTTTATGTCTCAGCTTCTCAAGTGTTGATGTTGGCAATGCCTTAGTGAATAAATCTACTAGATTATCACTTGAACAGATTTGTTGAACATCTATCTTACCATTATTTTGAAGATCATGGGTGAAAAAGAACTTTGGTGAAAGGTGCTTTGTTTTGTCTCCTTTGATATATCCTCCTTTTTGTTATGCTAAGCATAATCTTCATATTATGATCTCCTAGATCATTTGCTCTTTTCTCTTATCTTTGGAACCAATTGGTCTACCACGTTTCAAGCATGGTTAGACTCATTTGCATTTATAGATTGTCCAACCGGGACATCAATTCAAATAGGAGCATTAGCAACTGAAATATGTGACTTAGTCACCCTTAGTAGGTCAGTGAATGCATCTGGTAGTTGATTTGTAATATTTTACAAATAAATTATTTTTTGAACCTCATGCTCACATTAATTGGTTCGAGGGTCTAAATGAGATAGTGATAATGCATTCCAATCTATCTCCTTTTCCAACTGCTTATTTTCTCCCCCTGATGTTGGGTATACTAATATATATCCCCAATCTTCTTTTGGGACCCATTTTTGTGTGTTGTGGTGGAGCAATTGAAACATATACCGCACATTCAAATATTGTAAGATGGGAAATATTTGGCTCCTTACCAAAAGTCAATTGTAATAGGGAGAGTTTATGATAACTTGTGGGCCTGATCCGCACAAGAGCTGTTGCATGCAAAATAGCATGACCACATACCGAGATGAAAAATTTTATTCTTATAAATATTGGTCTAGCAATTAATTAGAGGCGTTTGATTAATGATTCTGCTAGACCATTTTGAGTATAAACATATGCAATCGGATATTCAATTATTATCCCAGTGGATATACAATAACTATTAAAGGCTTGTGAGGTAAATTCACCAGCATTATTAAGACGGAGTGTCTTAATTACATAATTTGGAACTTGTGCTATTAATTTTATTAGTTGATCCAATAACCTTGCAAAGGCCGAATTGCGGGTTGATAACAAGTACACATGTGACCATCTTGTAGATACATCTATCAAAATCATATAATATCTAAATAGTCCACATGGAGGGTTTTAGGTCTACATATATCACCATGTATATGTTCAAAAAATGCAGGGGATTCAACCCCAACTTTAATTGTTAATGGTGTAATAATCAATTTGCATTGAGAATATGCAGCACAAGAGAATTCTTTAGTTTTAAGAATCTTCTGGTTCTTCAGTGAATGACCATGTGAATTCTCAATTATTTTGCGCATCATATTATAATCGGTATAGCCCAACCGGTCATGCCAAATAATAAAATCATTAGTAACCCCTGATTTACTATGGCATGTGATTCGACTACACTACTTGTGTAGTATAAGCCGCATGAAAAAAAGATAATCTTTCATATTCATATTCTCATTCAAGGAAAAAGTCATTATCATTATTGTCATGGTCAAAATCATTATAAGCAAGACCTGTTTCTTGTTTTACTTTTGCCTTTTAATAATTTTTCATAAGGCTGGCAAAGTATTTTTGACGTAAAATAGGTATACGACCAATGACATAATCATGCAACCACATAATAATATTTATCCTCTTTATTTCTCTCAAACCTCTTTAGAGGTGAGCTGTGAGATTTCAACAATCAAGAGTGTCACGACCCAAAATCCACTATAAGTCGTGATGGTGCCTAACACCGTTGTCATGCAAGCCAACTGTGATTGATCAATTTAATTACTCATTCTAATACTTTAAAATCATATTTTTTTATTAATTAAATATTATAAAATAGAATTTACACGAACTACAATAATGAATAACCCGTAGGAACCCCCAAAATTCGGTGTCACAAGTGCATGAGCACCAACTAGGAAATATAATAAAATATAATATCTGCCTGGAATACAAATTAGACAGGAAAATATAAATAACTCTGATGGAGACTCTGCAGGCTGCGAATCGTAACATGAAATGCAGCTCATGGTAAAGTCCCCACAATAACCGCGCCTTTGCGCCCAAAGACCACCAGACATATATGTACCTGCACAAAAAGTACAGCAAGTGTAGTATGAGTATGTAAATCAACGCGTACCCAGTAAGTACCTAGCCTACTCACAGAGAAGTAGTGACGAAGGATCGACATTAACATTTACTAGTGGTCCAATAAGGCAGATACAGTAAAAGTAAACAGATGTGAGTCAGTAGAAATAAACGAGATAAGAAGTATAAATACGTGCTAAAATTCTCCTCTCGGCAATAACTCAAACTCTCAGCTAGTAGTTACCTCCTCAATCGAATTATATATAATGGACCTCACCAGATAGGTCGCCACAGTTCAAATCAGGAAATCTCATTGATATACTGCCTTTGTATCAATTATTACGCACGATTTCATAAGAGTATTTTATAGATATGTCGAGGCGTACGTCCCGATCCATCATAATATTTCTGAACCAAAGATACATATATTATATTGTCGAGGCGAATGGCCCGCTCCCATGAGAGTATGATACATAATCCTGCCGAGGCATACAACCCGATCCATCATAATGTGCGCACTACCGAGTGTCGAACGGCACGAACCATAGATATATCTATCCTGCCGAGGCGAACGACCCGATCCCATTAAAATAAGAAGCTTTGACGGGTCCTTGACCCCACTCACGAATAGACGTGTGAGTTATAAATTTTTGAGAAACCTTTCGATCAGAACGCATAGCGCTCGAGAAATTCGTAAAAGGAGTACAATTATTTCGCGGCTAATCATGAAGCCCGTCGAATCTCTAAAATAGCAAGTCTATCACTCTACACAAGTCTAGTCTCAAGTCGCAACGTAAAATAAAGCAATTTAATAGGCAAGAGACAACTCAAATAGTACAGTTATAGCATGGCGGGAATCTAAGTCTACCCGGACATAACATGAATCTAGCTACGTACGGACTCTCGTCACCTTGTGCGTACGTAGCCCCCGAAACTAGTAGCACATAACAAATACATCACCTAGGGGTAGTTTCCCCCTCACAAAGTTAGACAGGAGACTTACCTCGCTCCGAAGTTCCATAACCGACTCCAAAGCCTCTCTAACACCTCAAACCGATGCTCGTCGATCCAAAACTAGTCAAACAATGTGCAAACCAATCAAAATATACTATAATACCCATAATTAATCAATTTAAACAATTCCCAACTCCGCTCGAAAAGTCGATAAAGTCAACCCTCGGGCCCACGTGCCCGGATTTCAAATATTTTCAAAGATAAACCTTACCCATAACATTACTAACTAAAGTATATATTTTATTCTTAATTCCATTTTCAAAATTGTGGTCAAAATCCAAAATTATCAATTCTAGGTTTTCTACCAAAATTCCATAATTTTTCTAAATTTTTCTCCTTAAATCCACATATAAACCTTACATTTAGCTCACAACAAGTGAAAAATTACTTACCTTGTGTTACATGATGAAAACTCCTCAAAATCGCCCAATAACCGAGCTCTAAAAATCCCAAATGAAAATGACCAAGTTCAATCCCTTATGTTCTGCCTAGTTTTCGCTTCTGCGGATCAATTGGCTGCATTTACGGTGCAGCTTCTGCGGATTTTCCATCGCTTCTGAGATCTAGGACTTCCAGTGTGCATCCGCATCTACGGATATACTTCCGCACCTGCGCCCCCAGGCTTCGTCTCCCATTCTCACACTTGCGATACCTCTCTGCATCTGCGACCTCACAGGTGCGGACAACCCTTCGCACCTGCGATCACTGCCCAGCTTCGCCCAAATCGCACCTGCAACCATTTTCTCACTTCTGCGGTCACGCACCTACGGTCAAACTTGCGCAGGTGCGATTGCACTAGAACTGGTGCACTTCAGCCATTCTTCAAGCTTCAACTTGATCCGTTAACCATCCGAAACCACCCTGAGGCTCCCGGGACCTCAACCAAACCTATCAACAAGTCCTAAAATACAATACGAACTTAGTCGAGCCTTCAAATCATATCAAACAACGCTAATACTACGAATCGCACCCCAATTCAAGCTTAATGAACTTTAGAACTTCAAACTTCTACATTCGATGCCGAAACCTATCAAATCAAGTCCGATTGACCTCAAATTTTACACACAAGTTATAATTGACATTACGGACCTACTCCCACTTCCGAAATCAAAATTCGACCTCGATATCAAAAAGTTCAC